GGAGCAGGTGTGTTTCTGGGGAGGGTTCGGGAGAAGGTGTGTCTCTGGGGAGGGTTCGGGAGCAGGTGTGTCTCTGGGGAGGGTTCGGGAGCAGGTGTGTCTCTGGGGAGGGTTCGGGAGCAGGTGTGTCTCTGGGGAGGGTTCGGGAGCAGGTGTGTTTCTCGGGAGGGTTCGGGAGCAGGTGTGTTTCTGGGGAGGGTTCGGGAGCAGGTGTGTCACTGGGGAGGGTTCGGGAGCAGGTGTGTCTCTGGGGAGGGTTCGGGAGCAGGTGTGTCTCTGGGGAGGGTTCGGGAGCAGGTGTGTTTCTGGGGAGGGTTCGGGAGCAGGTGTGTCTCTGGGGAGGGTTCGGGAGCAGGTGTGTTTCTGGAGAGGGTTCGGGAGCAGGTGTGTTTCTGGGGAGGGTTCGGGAGCAGGTGTATCTCTGGGGAGGGTTCTGGAGCAGGTGTGTTTCTGGGGAGGGTTCGGGAGCAGGTGTGTCTCTGGGGAGGGTTCGGGAGCAGGTGTGTTTCTGGGGAGGGTTCGGGAGCAGGTGTGTTTCTGGGGAGGGTTCGGGAGCAGGTGTGTCTCTGGGGAGGGTTCGGGAGCAGGTGTGTTTCTCGGGAGGGTTCGGGAGCAGGTGTGTTTCTGGGGAGGGTTCGGGAGCAGGTGTGTCACTGGGGAGGGTTCGGGAGCAGGTGTGTCTCTGGGGAGGGTTCGGGAGCAGGTGTGTCTCTGGGGAGGGTTCGGGAGCAGGTGTGTTTCTGGGGAGGGTTCGGGAGCAGGTGTGTCTCTGGGGAGGGTTCGGGAGCAGGTGTGTTTCTGGGGAGGGTTCGGGAGCAGGTGTGTTTCTGGGGAGGGTTCGGGAGCAGGTGTGTTTCTGGGGAGGGTTCGGGAGCAGGTGTATCTCTGGGGAGGGTTCGGGAGCAGGTGTGTTTCTGGGGAGGGTTCGGGAGCAGGTGTGTTTCTGGGGAGGGTTCGGGAGCAGGTGTATCTCTGGGAAGGGGTTCGGGAGCAGGTGTATCTCTGGGGAGGGTTCGGGAGCAGGTGTATCTCTGGGAAGGGGTTCGGGAGCAGGTGTGTCTCTGGGGAGGGTTCGGGAGCAGGTGTATCTCTGGGAAGGGTTCGGGAGCAGGTGTATCTCTGGGAAGGGGTTCGGGAGCAGGTGTGTTCTGGGGAGGGTTCGGGAGCAGGTGTGTTTCTGGGGAGGGTTCGGGAGCAGGTGTGTTTCTGGGGAGGGTTCGGGAGCAGGTGTCTTTCTGGGGAGGGTTCGGGAGCAGGTGTATCTCTGGGGAGGGTTCGGGAGCAGGTGTGTCTCTGGGGAGGGTTCGGGAGCAGGTGTATCTCTGGGGAGGGTTCGGGAGCAGGTGTGTCTCTGGGGAGGGTTCGGGAGCAGGTGTGTTTCTGGGGAGGGTTCGGGAGCAGGTGTGTTTCTGGGGAGGGTTCGGGAGCAGGTGTATCTCTGGGGAGGGTTCGGGAGCAGGTGTGTCTCTGGGGAGGGTTTGGGAGCAGGTGTATCTCTGGGGAGGGTTCGGGAGCAGGTGTGTCTCTGGGGAGGGTTCGGGAGCAGGTGTGTTTCTGGGGAGGGTTCGGGAGCAGGTGTGTCTCTGGGGAGGGTTCGGGAGCAGGTGTGTTTCTGGGGAGGGTTCGGGAGCAGGTGTATCTCTGGGAAGGGGTTCGGGAGCAGGTGTGTTTCTGGGGAGGGTTCGGGAGCAGGTGTGTTTCTGGGGAGGGTTCGGGAGCAGGTGTGTCTCTGGGGAGGGTTCGGGAGCAGGTGTATCTCTGGGGAGGGTTCGGGAGCAGGTGTATCTCTGGGCAGGGGTTCGGGAGCAGGTGTGTTCTGGGGAGGGTTCGTGAGCAGGTGTGTCTCTGGGGAGGGTTCGGGAGCAGGTGTGTTCTGGGGAGGGTTCGGGAGCAGGTGTATCTCTGGGGAGGGTTCGGGAGCAGGTGTATCTCTGGGAAGGGGTTCGGGAGCAGGTGTATCTCTGGGGAGGGTTCGGGAGCAGGTGTGTCTCTGGGGAGGGTTCGGGAGCAGGTGTGTTTCTGGGGAGGGTTCGGGAGCAGGTGTATCTCTGGGGAGGGTTCGGGAGCAGGTGTATCTCTGGGGAGGGTTCGGGAGCAGGTGTGTCTCTGGGGAGGGTTCGGGAGCAGGTGTGTTTCTGGGGAGGGTTTGGGAGCAGGTGTATCTCTGGGGAGGGTTCGGGAGCAGGTGTGTTTCTGGGGAGGGTTTGGGAGCAGGTGTGTCTCTGGGGAGGGTTCGGGAGCAGGTGTATCTCTGGGAAGGGGTTCGGGAGCAGGTGTGTCTCTGGGGAGGGTTCGGGAGCAGGTGTGTCTCTGCGGAGGGTTCGGGAGCAGGTGTGTGTCTGGGGAGGGTTCGGGAGCAGGTGTATCTCTGGGGAGGGTTCGGGAGCAGGTGTGTCTCTGGGGAGGGTTCGGGAGCAGGTGTGTTTCTGGGGAGGGTTCGGGAGCAGGTGTGTCTCTGGGGAGGGTTCGGGAGCAGGTGTGTCTCTGGGGAGGGTTCGGGAGCAGGTGTGTTTCTGGGGAGGGTTCGGGAGCAGGTGTGTTTCTGGGGAGGGTTCGGGAGCAGGTGTGTTTCTGGGGAGGGTTCGGGAGCAGGTGTATCTCTGGGGAGGGTTCGGGAGCAGGTGTGTTTCTGGGGAGGGTTCGGGAGCAGGTGTGTTTCTGGGGAGGGTTCGGGAGCAGGTGTATCTCTGGGAAGGGGTTCGGGAGCAGGTGTATCTCTGGGGAGGGTTCGGGAGCAGGTGTATCTCTGGGAAGGGGTTCGGGAGCAGGTGTGTCTCTGGGGAGGGTTCGGGAGCAGGTGTATCTCTGGGAAGGGTTCGGGAGCAGGTGTATCTCTGGGAAGGGGTTCGGGAGCAGGTGTGTTCTGGGGAGGGTTCGGGAGCAGGTGTGTTTCTGGGGAGGGTTCGGGAGCAGGTGTGTTTCTGGGGAGGGTTCGGGAGCAGGTGTCTTTCTGGGGAGGGTTCGGGAGCAGGTGTATCTCTGGGGAGGGTTCGGGAGCAGGTGTGTCTCTGGGGAGGGTTCGGGAGCAGGTGTGTCTCTGGGGAGGGTTCGGGAGCAGGTGTGTTTCTGGGGAGGGTTCGGGAGCAGGTGTGTTTCTGGGGAGGGTTCGGGAGCAGGTGTGTTTCTGGGGAGGGTTCGGGAGCAGGTGTGTCTCTGTGGAGGGTTCGGGAGCAGGTGTATCTCTGGGGAGGGTTCGGGAGCAGGTGTATCTCTGGGGAGGGTTCGGGAGCAGGTGTGTCTCTGGGGAGGGTTCGGGAGCAGGTGTGTTTCTGGGGAGGGTTTGGGAGCAGGTGTATCTCTGGGGAGGGTTCGGGAGCAGGTGTGTTTCTGGGGAGGGTTTGGGAGCAGGTGTGTCTCTGGGGAGGGTTCGGGAGCAGGTGTATCTCTGGGAAGGGGTTCGGGAGCAGGTGTGTCTCTGGGGAGGGTTCGGGAGCAGGTGTGTCTCTGGGGAGGGTTCGGGAGCACCTGTGTGTCTGGGGAGGGTTCGGGAGCAGGTGTATCTCTGGGGAGGGTTCGGGAGCAGGTGTGTCTCTGGGGAGGGTTCGGGAGCAGGTGTGTTTCTGGGGAGGGTTCGGGAGAAGGTGTGTCTCTGGGGAGGGTTCGGGAGCAGGTGTGTCTCTGGGGAGGGTTCGGGAGCAGGTGTGTTTCTGGGGAGGGTTCGGGAGCAGGTGTATCTCTGGGGAGGGTTCGGGAGCAGGTGTGTTTCTGGGGAGGGTTCGGGAGCAGGTGTGTCTCTGGTAAGGGGTTCGGGAGCAGGTGTGTTTCTGGGGAGGGTTCGGGAGCAGGTGTATCTCTGGGAAGGGTTCGGGAGCAGGTGTGTTTCTGGGGAGGGTTTGGGAGCAGGTGTATCTCTGGGGAGGGTTCGGGAGCAGGTGTGTTTCTGGGAAGGGGTTCAGGAGCAGGTGTGTCTCTGGGGAGGGTTCGGGAGCAGGTGTGTTTCTGGGGAGGGTTCGGGAGCAGGTGTATCTCTGGGGAGGGTTCGGGAGCAGGTGTGTTTCTGGGGAGGGTTCGGGAGCAGGTGTATCTCTGGGAAGGGGTTCGGGAGCAGGTGTATCTCTGGGAAGGGGTTCGGGAGCAGGTGTGTCTCTGGGGAGGGTTCGGGAGCAGGTGTGTTTCTGGGGAGGGTTCGGGAGCAGGTGTGTTTCTGGGGAGGGTTCGGGAACAGGTGTGTCTCTGGGGAGGGTTCGGGAGCAGGTGTGTTTCTGGGGAGGGTTCGGGAGCAGGTGTGTTTCTGGGGAGGGTTCGGGAACAGGTGTGTCTCTGGGGAGGGTTCGGGAGCAGGTGTGTCTCTGGGGAGGGTTCGGGAGCAGGTGTATCTCTGGGGAGGGTTTGGGAGCAGGTGTGTTTCTGGGGAGGGTTCGGGAGCAGGTTGATCAAGCACAGGGCTATAAACCCATCGCCATCCTCAGCTCGCTTCAGCCCCGTATGCCAGGCATTTGTTCATTTTGTTTTTTCTAAATCGAGGGCTCACTCTTCGTGTTGTAAAAATCACCGGCGATGCCGGGAAAGGCAAAGGCCGGGTTGAAAGCAAGCCTTCCTCCAGGACCCCCGTCTTACGGTGATGTGCTTTTAGACTTTACTGTGGGTCATTGCAGGACAGACTTGGTTTTGGTCAGTGGTGGGGCTTGAACTCAGGGCCTGGGCGCTGCCCCTCAGCTCTTCAGCTCAAGGCTAGTGCTCTACCACAGCACCATGCCCGGTTTTCTGGTGGTTCCTTGGAGATCACAGTCTCAGGGACTTTCCTGCCCAGGCTGGCTTTGAACCACGATCCTCAGATCTCAGCCTCCTGAGCAGCTGGGATGCCAGGCCACATGAAGAATTACTGCCTGAGCATGGACGGGGGAAATCCGTGTATTTACATGAGCAGGAAATAGAGAAAATACTCATGCTTCTTGAAGACCAGAAGAAGAAAAGAAAGAATCATCCCGCTAATTCTAGAAGATTCTGCCTAGCCGCACACTGGGACATGCCGTTGGAGACTTCGAAAGCCAAGCCCTCACCTGATCAATGATATTCGTATCGGCTGAAAATCGATTGAGAATGAGGCCCAGGGGGGTCGTGTCAAAAAACCTGCAGGAGGAGGAAAACGTCTGTGTTATCTCACTGAACATTCCAGAACCTTAACCGGACAGCTTGGGTCACAGAGGCGAGATGCCAGCCTGTCAGCTTGTTCGAGGACTGAGGAAAATCTGGACATTGTTATTATTAATATTAATACTATTAATACTAGTTGCTTAGATCCTTTCCCAGATGATTGGCATCTCCAATGAGCTGTATGAGAGGATTTGATTTAATAGGTCTGTGTGTGTGTACAATGCATCTCTGTGTGTATGTGTGTGTGTGTGTGTGTGTGTGTGTGATGGGGATTTGAACTCTCTTCTGGCCTTTTGTTCAAGGCTGGTGCTTTACTATATGAACCACAGCTCCACTCCTGGTTTGCTGGTGGTTCCTGGGAGATTAGAGTCTCACCGACTTGCCTGCCCTGGGCTGGCCTTGAACCGCGATCCTCAGATCTCAGCCTCCTGAGTCGCTGGGATATTTTCACTGTGTTCCCCTACCGTTGGTGACCTTCTGGAAGTTTCCAGCACGGATGTTGACAGAGGGAGGCTGGGAGGAAGCGGAGAGTTCTCTCTCGGTTCTTTTTTACCTGATCGGCCCGAGGATGATCTTGTTGAGCAGATTGTGGTGCAGGTTCTTGGCTGCGGTCAACCCCATCCACTCCACGGTGAGCGAGGTCACCAGACACAGCACGATGCCCGCGGCACACAGGATGCTGAACCCCGCCACGTAGTAGGTCTGCAACGCAAGCATGGAAACGTGGCCCCAGAGCCCATCCCCCTAAGACCTCCACACCCCCCCTCTGCAGAGGAGGCCGGGCTCGGAAGCGTCCGCCTGCAATCCCGGCCACTCAGGAAGCTGAGACCCGAGGATCGGAGGTTTGACTCAGGGCCGCCTCGGGGGAGATTCCTCGTCTCCAGCGAACCACCCAAAAGCTGGAAGTGGGGGTTGGTTTAAGAGGGAAAGCCCCAGCCTTGAGCGACCAAGCTCAGGGACGGCGTCTCAAGGCCCTGAGTTCAAATCCTAGTACCAGCACACATTCGCACACAGCAGATCAGAAAGGCAGGGTTTGGAGATCTAGAGTGAGAACCCCACCACAGTCCACAGGCCCCGGTTCGCCCTCTGCGCTCCGGCCAGGGATGGAAGAAGGATCAGTTGTGTTTTCAGATCGGGGTAAGATGCTGGGCTCCTTTGTTCATTCTTCCCAGCCACTCACCAGTGAACAGACTGGTGCAGAGCTAAAGAAAACTCGTCAGCGCAAAGGCAGACAAGACCTAGATATGTGTGGATGTGTGTGCGTATAGGTGTGTAGGTGTGGTGTGTAGGTGTGTAGGTGTGCATGCATTTATACATACCTGTGCATTGCACACATGTGTGTATGTGTACGCAGGTATGTATGTATGTATATGCGTGTGCATGCATGTATATTGTGTATGGGTGTGTATGCATGTGTACATATGTGTGCGCACATACAAATGCATGTATACATGTGGATTGTGAATATGTACATGTGTGTGCTTATGTGTGTGTGCGTGTCTATGTGTATATGTGTTTATGTGTGTGTATATGTGTATTATGCACAAACGTGTATATTTATGCCTGTGTGTGCATGTGTGTATGTGTGTAAATGCATGTGTGTGCATGTGTGCAGGTATGTACGGATGCCTGTATATGTGTGTGTATATGTGTATTATGCACAAACGTGTATATTTATGCCTGTGTGTGCATGTGTGTATGTGTGTAAATGCATGTGTGTGCATGTGTGCAGGTATGTATGGATGTGTGTATATGTGTGTATATAGATGTACATATAGGCATATCTCTATGTGTACGTGTGTGCATATATGTGTGTACTCCCGTGTCTGCATATACATGCGTGTGACCCTACATGATGCACATAAGTCGCACGTGTGTCCCACATGGGAATAGAACCCTTGAGTTCAAATCCACCCATTCTCCTTAAATGTTTCTCCTGATGAGCTAAACAGCTAAACATGATAGATCTCCGTGTGTGTGTGTGTGTGTGTGTGTGTGTGTGTTTAAGGCTTGAACTCAGGGCCTGGGTGCTGTCCCTGAGCTCTTTCACTCCAGGCTGGTGCTCTACCACTTGAGCCACAGCTCCACTTCTGCTTTCCTGGTGGTTCATTGGAGATCAGAGTCTCACGGACTTTCCTGCCCGGGCTGGCCTTGACCGGCGATCCTCAGCTCTCAGCCTCCTGAGCAGCTGGGATGACAGGCGAGAGCTGTAGCTGTCACGTGGACACCAGGACAGTTGGTGGCATGTCGGTTGCTCCCCTGGGAATTGCTGGTGGCCCTGCCCCCTCCCAGAGCGACCGCTGTCGAAGCCGAGATCGCGCCTCGTGGCTGGCCTCATTCAGCTCCTCTTCGTCTTTCGGGCTGTGCGGGGCCGCCCGTACCTGGTCGGCTTTGCCGGTGTTGGCGATGCTGTATTTGGACGTCCAGGTGGCCAGCCAGTAGTCGATGGCCACGATCACAGAATGCTTCAGCAGCTTGGAGAAGATCATGAGGCAGAGGAGGAAGAAGCCTCCGGAAGTCAGGTACCACCAGCAGGTCCTCCAGGGCATCTTGGTCCTGCATCGCATGACCGTGGACATGTTGTCATCCTCCTCCTCCTCCTCTTCTTCCTCTACAGACACGGGGGGGGGGGTCAGCCTTCGGGGGGGCACCAGAAATAGAGTTCTTATGATCACACACACATACACACACACACACACGTATAAAGCTTCACAGGCTGAGCACAGTGACTCCCTCTTGTAATCCCAGACTCTTGGGAGGTGAACAGAGGAAAAAAAAAAAACAATGTCAGTTGAAGGCCAGTGCCAAGCTACTCATGCCTGTAATCCCAGCTATGAGGATCACGGTTCAAAGCCAGCCTGGACAGGAAAGTCCGTGAGACTCTGATCTCCCATGAACCACCAGGAAACCGGAAGTGGCGCTGTGGCTCACGTGGTAGAGCACCAGCCTTGAGCTGAAGAGCCCAGGCCCTGAGTTCAAGTCCCAGGACTTGACCAAACAAAAAGAGAGAGATTTACCTTCATCCTCGTCCTCCATCTGAGCCTTGCCTTCTCTTGAATACATGGCCCTGCGTAGAGATTTCCTCTCCAGCGTGGTCTGGTCAGCCTCCATGTCCTGCAGTGGAAAGATGTCCGTCAAGCAAGGACCTGATCTCCCCATGGATGCCTTCTACAGACCCCTGGGAGCCACTTCCGGTTTCCGGGGGGTTCCTTGGAGATCAGAGTCTCAGGCACTTTCCTTCGGCCTCCAACCACGATCCTCACATCTCAGCCTCCTGAGTAGCTGGGATGACAGGCGGGAGCTACCCGTCCGTCCCTGGCTTACATAGATGGTTTCCTGTCAGCCTCCAGGGCTATCACTCAGTACAGAGACCCAGAATTGGAGTCCCAGGAGCTGTCCCAGAAGTGCCTCAGGTCCAGAGGGAATTTCACAGGGGGGACCGAGCCCGCCCTGGGGACTTCTATCCATGCTTGTTTTATGGCTATTTTTAGCTCCGTTCAGGAGGTCTGATTCCTTTACCATGTTCGTAAATACCTTCCTTTAAAAATGCATATGGTGGCTCACGCCGGTCATCACAGCTAACTCAAGAGGCTGAGAGCTGAGGATCATGGTTCAAATCCAGCCCGGGGCAGGAAAGTCTGTGAGACTCTGATCTCCAATGATCCACCAAAAGAAAGCCAGAAGTGGCGCTGTGGCTCCAGTGGTAGAGCTCCAGCCTTGAGCAAAAGAGCTCAGGGACAGCGCCCAGGCCCTGAGTTCAAGGCCCAGGACCAGCACACCAAAAAAAGGTAGAAAGAAATCTTATTAGAGCCAACTTTCTGAAGTATAAATGCTCCAGTAAGCCCCGGGCAGGTTCAATGTCTGACGTTGTGTTGAGGTTTGGGTTTGGGTTGAGGATGAAGTAAACACCGTTTCATTTATCCAACAAATATTTACTAATCCAGGTCAGGGTTGCTCAGGGGACCGGGGTCCGGGACCCGCCATCCTCTTCCATTATGTTTGCTTAATAGAATTATAGAGAAGCCGGTTGTTGGTCAAAGACAAGTCTGGTGACTCACGCCTGTAATCCAAACAACTCAGGAGGCTGAGCTCTGAGCAGCGCGAGCTACAGCCAGCCCGAGAAGACAAACCCAAGAGCAGTCTTACCTCCAGTTCACCACCAAAAAGCCCATACTGGAGGTGTGGTGGTTCAAGGGGTCGAGCGGCAGCCAATCAAGAGCATGTTGGCCCTGAGTTCAAATCCCAGCACACACACACACACACACACACACACACAGTATCACAGGCTAACGTAGCTTGTTCGTGGATGACAGGTAATGAGACAATTAGTTTAGACTCCGGGGAGGAAAACTCGACACTATCCAGCTGGGCGTGGGACACTTTCAAAGGCGAAAGAAACCATCGTGAGAATTCTACAGCACCCGCCGGACTCTCAGATCCAAACACCCGCCTTTTCTAGCTCTTTCTTGAGAGACAGGGAGAAGGAGGGGGGGAAGAGAGGGAGGGAGAGAAAAGGAGAGGGAGGGAGAGAGGGAGGGAGAGAGGGAGGGAGAGAGGGAGGGAGAGAGGGAGGGAGGGAGAAGGAGAGAAGGGAAAGGAGAGAAAGGAAGGAGAGAGGGGGGAGAGAAGAAGAGGGAGAGAGGGAGGGAGAGAGGGAGGGAGGGTGGAAGGAAGGGAGGGAGGGAGAGGAGAAAGAGAGGGAGAGAAGAGAGAGGGAAAGAGGGAGGGAGGAGAGAGAAAAGAAGGGATGGAGAAAGGAGAGAAAGGGAGGAGAGAGGGGGAGAGAGAGGAGGAGAGAAGAGAGGGGGAAGGAGGGAAGGAGGAAGGAGAGAAAGGTCAAAACTAGCTGAGACCAAATCCTGCCGCTGAGCACGCGCGTGCGCATTTACATCCTTAGCACGCGCGTGTGCACGCACATCCCTACCCCCTTCAAGATGCAGACTTGAGGCAATTATGGCCGAGCTCACGCCCGATTGCCGGTTTATAGACACCGCCTGCGCACGCACGCGTGTCTGCAGCACCCACGATCCGACGCCATCACAGATCACACACGCCGCCCCGAGCCCTTTCACTCAAGGCCGGCGCTCTACCGCTTGAACCACAGCGCCCTCCCGGCTTTTTTCTGCCTGTGGGGTGCCGAGGACTCGAACCCGGGGCCTCTCCCCCGAGCCACGTGCCCACCTTCTCCAGCTCCTGGTCCTGGCGGTTCATGAGCGTCTTCCAGTGCTCGTACAGCTCCACGTCCTTGGTCTGGATGTCCTTCAGCGTCCCCTCCCGCAGCACGCTGCCGTCCTTCATGGCGATGATCTGCGGGGGGGGGGGGGGGGTGAAGGTCATCGGGAAGGTCATAACCAGAGCAATATGCACCTGCCCCCCCCCCCCGGGGACCACGCAGCCCGAGCCTCACCCAGTCCGCGTGAGTCAGATACTGCAGCTTGTGTGTCACCAGCACCAGAGTCCGCTTGTCGTCTTGGAGAAACTTCAGGATCCCTTCCTGCATCAGGTGGTCGCTCAGGTGGATGTCCAGGGCCGAGAACGGGTCATCCTGTGGTCAGAGCAACACCACCCAGTCCTTGTTCTCTCCTGTATACTATTCCACTCCTCCAAGAGCCCCGGATGAACGCGACAAAGACACCCAAGGAAAAGCACAGCAGGGAAGCCAACCGTCTCACCAAGAACACGATGTTGGTGTTTTGATAGAGAGCTCTGGCCACGCAGATCCGCTGCCTTTGACCCCCGCTCAGGTTGATCCCCTGCGAGAGAAACGTCGAGAAGACCCCTCCACGTTGCTCCCCATTCGTGAAGGATCTACAAAGACCTCAACGGTGGCAATAGTTGGAAGAGAACTGATCGAGCGATCAATGCTTGGCTTCTAGCACTAGTTCCCAGGGGCTCCCGCCTGTCATCCCAGCTACCCGGGAGGCTGAGATCTGAAGGATCACCAGTTCAAAGCCAGCCTGGGCAGGAAAATCCATGAGACTCTGATCGCCAAGGAACCACCAGAAAACCAGAAGTGGCGCTGTGGCTCAAGCGGTAGAGCGCCAGCCTGGAGCAAAAGAGCCCAGGGACAGCGCCCAGACCCTGGGTTCAAGTCCCAGAACCAGCAAATGAATTAATTGATTGATTACCAGGCCAGAATCACATGGCATCCACATGAAACACATCGACCCGAGTTGAACAAAATAAAAATAGCCAGATAACATTTTGGCCAGAAGGAAACAGAGGTTCCCAGGAGGTAGAAGAAGCTGCCAGAAGCCATCTAAACAAGCACATTTGCTCCCAGCCAAGGCCTCTAGAACCTTCCCTCCCAGCAGAACCCCACATGGCCACTGTCAAGCCTCGTATACAGGAGGCACTCAATAATGGCTGCAGGAGCGTGCCCGCCCTACGCCGCCGGCACCCTTCCCAGGCCGCCCGCCGTCAGGAGGCCCGCGGGCTTGGCAGGCAGACCACGAGGTCATTCCGTGGGGTCTGCGCGGTGGCCGCGTGCCATTACCCATCTCGCTCACCCTCTCTCCGATTTCAGTCTGATCACCAAACGGTAACAGATCGATATCCGGCTGAAGAGAGCAGGCGTCGGTGACAGCTTTGTACCTTTGGGCAAACACACACACAAACATGGCGAGGTATTTGGGGTTCCCTAGGGTTTTGGTCTTTGTGGTTTTTTGTAATCTACCGGTCCCGGGTCTTGAACTCAGGGCCTGAGCTGTGTGTGTGTGTGTGTGTGTGTGTGTGTGTGTGTGTGTGTGTGTGTGTGTGTGTGTGTGTGTGCTCAAGGCTGGCGCTTTACCACTCAACGTCAGGCTTTGGGGAGGTGGTTCGTTGGAGAGCAGAGTCTCACAGATTTGCTTTCCTGCCCAGGCTGGCCTTGAACCGCGATCCTCCGATCTCAGCCTCCCTGAGTGGCTGGGATGACAGGCGGGAGCCACCGGTGCCCGGCTCTCAGAATGTTTCCCTCATAGTCTGTTTCTATTTCTCTCTCTCTCCATCTCTGCCTCTCTTTGTCTCTCTGTCTCTGTTCCTCTCTGTCTGTCTCTTTCTACCTTTGTGTCTGTCTGTCTCTATCTCTCTGTGTCTGTCTCTCTGTTTCTCTCTTTCTCTCTCCCTGTGTTCCTCTGGCTCTGGCTGAATCTTTCCATCTGTTTCTCTCTCTTTTCTGCTTCACTTTGTCTGTTTCTTTCTCTCTGTCTCTGTCTCTACCATTATCTCTGTCTCTGTGTTCCTCTCTCTGTCTCTGTCTGTCTGTCTGTCTGTCTCTCTGCCTTTGTGTCTGTGTCTCTAATTCCTCTCTGTCTTTATCTCTTTCTGTTTCTCCATCTTCATTTCTCTCTCCTTTGTCTCATTCTCTCTTTCCTTGTCTGCCTCGGTTTCTCTCTCAAGCTCCCCCCCTCCTTATACACACACGCACATGCACACACACCCATGCACACTCACACACACACACACAAGCTGACTCAGAGGCCTTGATTCGGCAGGATGGAAACGGAGTACAGAGAGAGAGGAGGAAATCTGAGGCCGAAACCAGGGATTAAATGGACGCCTGTCATCCCAGCGACTCAGGAGGCTGAGATCTGAGGCTCACGGTTTGAAGCCAGCCCAGGCTTTGAGTTCAAGTCCTAAGACTGGCACCAAAAAAAAAAAAAGAAGAGTAGGGAATTTACCTCTGTCTGTTGAAAGGGCTCCCAAAGGTAATGTTTTCTTCCACAGTGGCATTTAATAACCAAGGCTTTTGAGCGGCGTAAGCCACGGAATACCTGCTCCTGCTGGGAAGGGAAAAGGAAACACGGGAGTTATGCAAAGGCCCTGTGGTCTGTGTGTGTGTGTGTGTGTGTGTGTTTTACTACAACTAAGGAAAAAGAAAGGTTGGCGAGGTATCTCAGACACAGAAGTGGGAAAACTTCGAAAAGAGCAAAGTTTAAGAGCGATCAGCTCGATTCAGAAATGACTCAATAGGCTTCCTAAACGAAAGAGGTTGGAATTACATCAACATGTCCTAGAAAAGTTGGATTCTGTTATCCTGATGAAGTGCTTCCAGGTTTAAACCACTCATTGAAATTTTCTTTTCTAAAATGAGAAAAGAAACTTTAAAATAATTTAAAAGCCGACTCATAATTCATTCTCTCAAGAAGCCAGGCATTTTGCCCTATATTAAAAAGCACTTTAAAGCCCAGCACTGGTGGCTCCTGCCTGTCATCCCAGCTGAGATCTGAGGATTGAGGTTCAAAGCCAGGAAAGTCTCTGTGACTCTGATCTCCAAGGAACCACCCAAAAGCTGGAAGTGGAGCTGTGGCTCAAGTGGTAGAGCGCTAGCCCTGAGCAAAAAAGTTCAGGGACAGCGCCCAGGCTCTGAGTTCAAAGCCAGCACGAAACAAAACAAAAATTTAAATTAAAAACCTACTTTAATGAACTGTTAATATTGTTCATAAACCTCTAAAAAACATGAATTGATGCTGTATTTATAGCCTGCGTTCTGTGGCTTCGTTAACACATTTCAAATGGTCAATGTGCAAAACACATATAGGTAACCTAGCCATAGAAATACTTCAAAACAAAGAATAAGAGACTGGACACCATCTCCAGTTAACCAGCAAAAAGCTGGACTGGAGGCATGGTCAACGAAGTAGAGCGCCAGCCGTGAGCACCATGGAAGACTTAAACTACCCCACACACCAATAATAATAATAATAGTAATAATAGTAGTAATAAACATTTTTTAAAAGGCATCTTGAGAAGAGTCCGACTCCACCTGGAAATTATACATTTGAGCTCCATTTTGGACATCATAGCGAAATCGTTTAATATTCCAAGACCATAAGAATAACGTCTTCCCCGTCCCTCCTCCCCTTCTTTTCCTTTGGGGGGGAGGGGAGCTGGGAGTTTAATTTGCAAGAATTAGGAACATGTAGGGGTGTAGGAGAGGAAGAAGATGATGAGCCTGGGGTTTGGGGAGAAGGGACAGGTCAGTGTCAAAGTCAGAATTCCGGGGTCCGTTAGTGATCTAGGATGACCGTTAACCGAGAGGATGATGGTTAAAGGAGGCATTAGAAATGCTCAGGAATCTTCTGGAAACATTCTCTCGTTCAGAGGCTCTGGAGAAGACAAGAGAATGTCCATCCATTCCCTGGTAGCCTTTAAGATAAATTACGAATGAGTCTGCACACAAAGAAGCGGTGAAACCCAAACTTTGATTTGTCTGCCTCCTTCAACCTTCGGATTCACAAGAGTTTTTGGTTGCTTCTTTTTTTCTTGGTCGGTCGTGGGGCTCGAACTCAGGGCCTGGGCGCTGTCCCTGAGCTCTTTCCCTCAAGGCTGGCGCTCTACCACTTGAGCCACAGCGCCACTTCTGGTTTGCTGGTGGTTCCTGGGAGCTCAGAGTCTCACAGACACGACTCGTGGAGAAGATTATTATTTTAATGTTAATGAAGTGGACCTGATGAGCCCTTTCATTTGGAAAATGAATCCTGTTGGCAGACTGCCAAGGTTGGAGGATCACGGCGACTTGTGAGTAACTGGCCAAGACGTTTTAATAAGCAACTATACACAGGGTGCACAAGATGGCTGGAGAACCAGGGATTAAAGATGAAGGAAAAGGGGGTTATTCTTATTAAAGTCAAGTTAAGATGAAACAATAATGAATAATAATAATAATAATACCTTCTGTTTCCTTCAAGAGAAGACTCAGATTCATTTACACTGCAAGTATGGGCAAACAGCATTCATTAATGATGAAGCAATAAATATAGAAGGCGAGAGGTGAACACATCAACAATACGCATGAACGAATAAGCAAACGGGCAGGTGCTAATGGCTCCCAGGACTCACAAAGAAGACGGAGCCAGACCTTTGTACGTGACGGTTGCCTCCTTTCACTGTATTTCCAATCTCTCCTCGTCTTTACCATTTGCCCTGTGTCTTTTAAATGGCTACTTGGCTACCCTGGGAAGAAGTATTTGGGGGTGTCTGTAAGACATCTCTCTAGGTCCCCCACCAAGCCTGGAAGAAAGGCAGACTCCAGGAGTAAATCCAACCACCGCCATCAGAGTCCCATGAGGCATTTGGGTGGATCTGTGGGGTTCTTTGGGGGGCTCTAAGTGTCCCCAGAAATCACACTCCCTCGCTGCATTTGGTTACTTCCTACGTGATGAGGTTGTTGCTGGTGGGAAGATCAATGGTTGGTTTCACTGATTCTGTGTTGGGAATTCACATTCGACCCCAGCCACCCTGGAAGTTCTTCATTTAGCCACGGCGACATAAACTAAATTCAACGTATGTTTAGATAGTAAATAAATATTTATGGAGTATATATTCATATAGCTATATTTGCACGTAGACCTGTTTATAGAGTAAACATAATATATAAATTATATAAATATATAATTATATGTCATTTTACATACCATTTATAACAGTCTATACCATCATATTGTATATGTAATAACCTAAAGTAGCATATAGTATAATATATAATACGTATAATATATACCATGATATGATATGATATATTGTCTATCTAAGCGCAAGACTCTTAAATGCTTCTAATGTAGATCTAACTGGCACCCAAGGGGAAATCTATTCCCTTTGCCCTGGGAGGCTTTATGTAAGAGCTGTGAGGGGCCTGGCCTTCGTTAGGATTGAAATGCCAGCAGGTGACTTCAATCGTGTTCTCTGAGAAGGAGGAGGAGGAGAGCAGGAGGAGCAGGGGAAATGGATGGTGTCGTTCACAGCTTGGCCATGCAGGGGAAAACGTCCACTGCTCACGGGAGACTGTCAGCCCAGGCTGAAGATGCGAATCTAGATGCCCCAACTCATCCACAGTTACCGTCGACTCTATTTCAGCGATGGTCACTGTGCATTAGAAATGCTTCCTGATTGTGTCTCATGAAGAGCACAGTCAGGAGCCGGTGCTGATGTGGTCAGGCTGGTGAGAATATGAAAGGGAGCTGGGCTTAGTGGCTCCCGCCTGTCATCCCAGCTACTCGGGAGGCTGAGACCTGAGGATCGCGGTTCAAAGCCGGCCCAGGGAGACTCTCATCTCCAACGAACCCCTAGAAAACCGCAAGTGGAGCTGTGGCTCAAAGTGGTAGAGCACCAGCCTTGAGCAAAAACAGCTCAGGGAACCGCGCCCAGGCCCTGAGTTCAAGCCCCACGACCGACACAAAGTAAAACAGAATAAAACAAAATGGGCCGCCATTGACCTCTCTCTATAAATAAGTCTTGGCTCGCATCCTGAGAGATGCCTGTGTACTGAAACAGCAGGTAGAATTACTGGCAGTGGGGATAAAATTGGACATTGCTGAGCCAGGCTCTCCAGCGTGGGCAAAACCAAGATTTAGGCCAAAGTGCATGCTGGGAGGTGATTCCTCTGGTTTCTAATAACCAGAGCATGGCGATTCCAGCTCTTTGGTTTTACCACCAAGTAAGTATGTCTCTACACATGGCCAATGATGTCCTGGGGGGGCAAGATCCGACTCATCTGAGGACCACTAGACTTTAATCTGATGTCTTATGAACGCGATCGGCGTGTACTGGGTGAATACAGATGACTTCCCCTTCCTCTTTCTGACTCGATTTGTTATTACGACGATGTCATTACTACCATGTGCTTTGAAAACTCACACGCCACGACCCTGACATTTAGAAAGAGCATCACACGAGAGGATTTCCTATTTCACCCCCTTCCGATTAAATAGCCTACTACGCTGGCCTACGCTTCTAGATTCTTCCAGTGTCTCCGTCCTTCAAGTGGGGAGGGAAACATGGTGAGGATTTCCCCGTTGATTGGTCCATATTTCCTCATCTATCCACCAACATTCTGCACTTGAGCCTTACAAGTACTGCTAGTTCTCGAGCTAAAAGAGGTTAGTAATAGGTTTACTCTCTATTGAAATACCATTAATTTACCCATTCACTTCACGCATCTTCGTTGATGTTACCACAAACGCCCATCCATGAACTGTTTGATCATTTTCATGCACGGCATGTAAGATTTCCCTTCCCTTTTTTGAAGTCTGTGCTGACTTATTCCTTCCTTTGGAAGATGATCGGACGCACAGCAGAGCGATACCAATGAAATGCAAATATACTTACTAATTCCACTGAACTCTACCCTCCAAAGTCTGCATCTCCCCGAGAATGGCTAGGAGAAGAGAAGACTTCCCGCACCCGACCTGGCCTACGATCATCGTGAGCTGACCTACGGAAACAAAACAGGGCAACCACCAGTTGAGAAAGAAGTTTCTAGAAAAATCAAAGGAGAACGCACTTCAACCCAGGTTGCTGGTTGGCTTGTGACTCGGGAGGCTGAGATCTGAGGATCACAGTTTGAAGCCAACTCCAGGCAGAAAAAATCCATGAGACTCTGATCTCCAATGCACCAGCAAAAAGCCAGAAGTGGCGCTGTAGCGCAAGCGGTAGAGCGCCAGCCTTGAGCTGAAGAGCTGAGGGACAGCGCCCAGGCCCTGAGTTCAAGTCCCACAACCAACAAAAAATAATTAACAATTCCCCCACCTCAAAAAAACCCACCATTCAAGCCACTCTTACCAGTTGGAATTCGGATGTCTATGTTGGATAATGTAGGAACACTGCTACCCCAGGAGAAAAACCCATTGGTGACCTGGAAAATACGAATGCCAAAGTGAAAGACAAGATCTCTCTCTCTCTCCTCTCTCTCTAACTGTCTCTGAGCTTCTTTGGCTCAAGGCAGGCGCTCTACCGCTTGAGCCACAGCGCCACTTCCGGCTTTTTCTGCGTCTGTGGCACTGAGGAATCGAACCCAGGGCTTTCCTGCATTGCTAGGCGAGCGCTCTACCCCTGAGCCACCTGCCCAGCCCCAGATCAATTCCATGTCACAGCTTCTTTATGGCCTCCATGACACACAGCAAATAACGCACGTGCAGGGGTTTTCTGATTGGTGGCAAGAGGTGTAGCAAAGTCCTTTGAACTCCTGGATCCCTTACCCAGGAAGCGGTGCTTCTTGGAAAACGACGGAACCATCATAAACATATTCCAAAGAAATCTCTACCTTCCTTCTTTGTCTCCTCTACTAGACAAGGCCAAGGGAACAAGAGAATCTACCAGAAATCATCAAGATGACTTTTAACAGCTGAGAGAGGCCCCGTAATGAATGAGTTTCTGGAATGGAGTCAACTTACCACCACGTTTAGTAATGTTGGAAGGAGTCCAGGTGAGCAGAAAATAAACACAGACACATGAAGCAATACCTGCTTTAAATATCAACACGCATCACCAGGGCCGGGCGCCGGTGGCTCCCGCCTGTCATCCCAGCTACTCAGGAGGCTGAGATCTGAGCATCACAGTTTGAGGCCAACCCCAGGCAGAGAAATCTGAGAGACTCGTATCTCCAGTTCATCAGCAAAAAGCTGGACGTAGAACTGTGGCTCAAGTAGCAGAGCACCCGTCTTGCATGAAAAAGTCAAGGGAGAGTGTGAGGCCTTGAGTTCAAGCTCTACTTACAGCAAACACACACATACACACACACACACACACACACACACACACACACACACACAGAGTCACAAGTTATTCGGTATTTTTCTTTGTGTGTGCAGATCCTGGGGCTTAAACTCAGGGCCTGGGCTCTGTCCCTGAGATTTTTTTTTTGCACATGGCTACTAGTGTTCTACAGCTCTACTTTTGACTATTTGGTAGTTCGCTGGAGATAAGAGTCTCACGGAAAGCCAGGCACTGGTGGCTCACACCTGTCATCCCAGCTACTCAGGAAACTGAGCTAAGAGGATCACAGTTCAAAGCCAGCCTGGGCAGAAAAGTCTATGAGACTTTCAGCTCCAATAAACTATTCAGAAAAGGCTGGGAGTGTCACTGTGGCTAGAACTTTCTAGCCTTGAGCAAAGGTCAGGGACAGCACCCAGGCCCTGAGTTCAAGTCCCAAGACTAGCAAAAAAAAAAAAAGTCTCATGGACTTTTCCCACCTGGGCTGGTTTTGAACCTCGATCCTCAGCTCTCAGCCCCTGAGTAGCTGGGATGACAGGAGACAGGCATCGTCTCGATGATCGATCAACGGGGTCCTAGAGATCTTATTCTAGAATGTGTCAGAGAGCCAAGTTCTTGGCTTACCGTGGCTAGACAGGGACCCATCCCCTGCTCCAAAGTCTCAAGTATTCATCTGATCGATTCACAAGCCATGGACACCTGAGCCAGGTAACCCCTCCTTTGCCTCTGAGCACCCCATTAGCTAGCGGCCTGTCATAAACCACACACTCCTGCAGTCTTTACCTGCATTCTTCAATCCTGTCATCCCAGCTACTCAGGAGGCTGAGATCTGAGGCTCACAGTTCAAAGCCAGCCCCGGGACAGACAGCAAAGTCCGTGAGATTCTTCTCTCCCATGAACCACCAAAGTGGAGCTGTTGGCTCCAAGTGGTAGATTGCTGTAGCCTTGAGCAAAAAGGAATCTCAGGGATGGCACCCAGGCCCTGAGTTCAAGCCCCAGCACTGGCACACACACACACACACACACACACACACACACACACAGACCAAACACTTGACACCACTGCCAGAAATACAGCAGCTCTTCACCCGCCACCAACGCCTGTCCACCCCCTTCCCGAATCCAGCCGGGCCCAATTCCAAAGTTGCCGACCTTCCAACCACTCCAGGCCTCCATTCTCCATGAGGGAAAGTGGTCTCCCCCCCCCCCATACGCTTCCTACCTGTTACCTGTCTCTTAACTCCAGCAGCTTAAACCACGGCCCTGCCCTTCCTGTCCCAGAAACACGTTGAGCTCACCGTCTCCCGACTGTTTGCTGGTGCTCCCCCTGAAGTCCTCTCGCCCAGACCTGCACGCGTTGACATGCACGATATTGTCCCCAAACGTCACTAAGAAGCGTCTCTCTTCTAGAAGCTTTTCACACAGCACAGACATCAACGGCTTCCTCGCTGAACTGCGGCTGCTCTGAATCCCATTTTCTCTCTCTCTGTCTCTCTCTGGTGCTTAGACTCCTGTTGGGGATTGTCTACTGTCTACTAGCTGTGCACTTCGTAATTTTGTCCTAGCGTGCACGCCGTAGGCTATGTCTGCACAAACTAAGATGGCCCACGGCCTTACTTAGGTGATATCATCGATGGTAAAGCACCAATCCCACCACTCATGGGTGGGCATTCGGTGCTGGGTGGAAACTGTCCCTTCTTCTTTTCCGACCTAGCACCAAATCGGGAGGTTGTACTGTGTCTCCCTGGTTGTTTTCTAAAACATGGTGGTGGTGGTTTTTATTTGTTTGTCTTGGTCCGTTGTGGGACTTGAACTCAGGGCCTGGGCGCTGTCCCTGAGCTCTTCAGCTCAAGGCTGGTGCTCTACCGCTTGAGCCACAGCGCCACTTCGGGTTTTCTGGTGGCTCGTTGGAGATCAGAGTCTCAAAGACCTGTCTGCCAGGGCTGGCTTTGAACCTCGATCCTCAACATCTGAGCCTCCTGAGTCGCTGGGATGACAGGCGGGAGCCGCAGAGCCGGGCTCATGGTTACATGTTTAAAGCACTCCAGCGGACACCAAAGTGAAGAATAGTGAGCGTGTCGCCCTGAAACTCTCTGGCCTCGCTTCCCCCCACCCTCAAAGCATCTATACTGAAGTTTTATGGCCACCTCGGGTGATGAACGGTGACTCAAAGAGGCAGAGCCATTGCTCCAAAGTCTCATCTCAAAGTAACGGTCAAGCAACAAGAGCATTCACTGACTCCCTGCAAGGGCAAGCTTGCTGCAGTGGCAGATGCAGACATGTCTTTTCCCTCCCTCCCTCCCTTTCTTTCTCTCCCTCCTTCGCTTTCTCTCTTTCTCTCCCTCCCTCCTCTTTCTCTCTCTCAGGGTAGCTACAATAAGGAGGTTTCTTAACAGCCGAGTCTTAGGATGCAGATGGTCCAGGGTACAGAGGAACAGGCCTGCTCTTGGATCTGCGCTGCATCCTGCTCAACGCTGATTGGTTCCCGTCTTCCTGGGCCTTGTCCCCTACCATCAGTGGTAGGTCTGGGTAAGTGTTAGGCGGCACAGGTTGACCTGTTCTACTTCAGCTTAACGCCAGAGCCCAAAGGCCAAATCCCAAAACCATCACTAACTAATTTATTTCTCTTGAAAAGATGTAGATTGTAAACCAAGCATCGGTGGCTCCCGCCTGTCATCCCAGCTACTCAGGAGGCTGAGATCTGAGGATCATAGTTCAAAGCCAGCCCGGGCAGGAAATGTCTGTGAGACTCTTGACTCCAATGAACCCCCAGAAAACCTTAAGTGGCGCTGTGGCTCAAGTGGTAGAGCGCCAGCCTTGAGTGAAAGAGCTCAGGGACAGCACCCCGGCCCTGAGTTCAAGCCCCGGGACCAGCACACACACACACACACACACACACACACACACACGCGCGCACACACACACACACACACACGCACGCACACACACGATTCTCATTTCTTAGCTTTGTCATATCAGTGTTTGCCTATGAATCCATTCATGCAAGAGTTTGAGAGGACACAGTAGCGTCTCACACACACGCAGAGCGAAACAGCCCGTGGTTATTTCTGAAGCACAGAGAAGCAGAACTGAGAAATCGTACACCCCACAGCGTGTTTTTAACTACAAACCACAGCCGCCATCAGACACAGACGGAGGACACCCTCACCGGATGCCCGGCCCCAAACCAGTCCCGCCTGTGCCTCTATTGGTACAGGAATCCAGGAAATGAAATGACCTTTATGGCCACATCTTCTGTTTCCACCGAGCGCAGGTGCCGCGACTCACAGCTGTCCAGGTGATACCTTCCCGGCTGCTTCCTGTTGATCGTTTTCGGTTGCTACATTCCAATGGGAAAAGAAAAAACACAGGTTGAAGCTATTACTACTTCACTCAAATCCCGGGGAATTTCTGGGGGAAGGAAGGAATGTGTCAGATAAAAGTCAGTCACACACAAGGTGAGGAATTATTGGGGGGGTTTTTGGTCTTAAGATAGATGGGTGAATTCTATCTTAGCATGGAAAGTTCTAGATCCTCATGGCTCACTCTCATTATCATAGCTGCTCAGGAGGCGGAGATCTGAGGATCGAGGTTCAAAGCCAGCCCAGGCAGGAAATGCCCGTGAGACTCTTGTCTCCAGTGAACCACCAGAAAACCTTAAGTGGCGCTGTGGCTCAGGTGGTAGAGCGCCAGCCTTGAGTGAAAGAGCTCAGGGACAGCGCCCAGGCCCCGAGTTCAAGCCTCATGACCGACAAAAAAAAAGTATGGGTTTTCCCAATGGTCCTATGAAAGGTGAACTGGAATTTATAACACGGCTCATCTGGGGGAAAATCATCGTCTTTTCAACTTCACATAGAATGTAGATGTTACTTTTAAAGAATTCCTTCAGCACGTTTCTTTCAGTGATATTTCCCTCTCCCTGTAGCTCTGATATCATGGAGTCTCCTTCATTCAAATGTTATACGATGTCTAGTGACGGGGACCTTTAACTGTGTCGTGACCATTTCTCTTCTTAGGAGGTGTGTGTTACGTAATGATCGAGTTCAACACCAACCCTCCATGAGCTAGAATAGGCTCTCTCTCTAAACATATATATATAAAAATGCATATATACACACACACATGTGGACATGGACATACATACGTGTGTATACACAAATATGCACACCTATACGTATATATAAAATATACACACACACACATACATATACATATAGACCCATATATTTATATACACACATAATATATACAGACATATTTACACACATCTAAAACGACACTCAAATGTGTATGTATACACACATTTATACTCATGCATGTACGTGTGTATATGCGATATGCGTGTATAGATATCGATAGAGGTATAGATATCTTTGAGCCTTCTTCCTCATCCCTACCGTCTGAACTTGAAGTTCTCATCACCTGGGTGTCAAACATAGATGCTCAGGGCTTGTAGCTCAGCACGTGCGTAGCAGGATGAAACCCTGGATTCTATGTCCAGCCCCGCACCCAAAATAATTGCTCCTTGAATTACACAGCCCTCTGACCTCTCTCTCCCGGCAGCCTGTGGACAGCCTGGGAGGGCTGAGCGTTGAGATCTGCCTGGATGGACATGTCCGTGAGACCCCATCTCAACCAGTGGGCCAGGTATGGTAGTGTGCACGTGCCAACTCAGCTGGATGAAAGGCACAGGAGGCGCGGGCAGGCGCTGTGGCTGGCTCTGGGCTCACGCACAAGATGCCCGACAAAGGACAAACGCAGAAAAGACCGGGGGTATGGTTCAGGGGGTCAAACACCTGTCTTCCTACCTCCAATACCCTGAGTTCCGATTGCGTTGAACTGTGTTCGTTGTTGTTGTTGTGTTGGGGGGGGTACTGAAGATGGGACCCATGGTATTGTATCTGCTGGGAAAGTGCTTTGCCAACTGAGCTACAGCCCAGCCCTGTGGTTGGATGATGTTTGTGCAAGTGTGTGTGTGTCTGTCTGTCTGTCTGAGGGTGTGCATGCACACGCCTGGCGATCCTCTTCCCTAGAGATTTAAACTCCAAGGCTTCCGCTTTCTTCCAGTTGCCGCCCGATGCCCGCACCCCGTCTCTGCCCCCCCCACCCCCCGCAGGGCCAACGCTCACCACGCCCGTGTGCTTCTTGCACGACTCAAATGGCAGCGCGCCCTCCCCGGCCCTCCAGCTGTGGCCGCTGATCTCGTCGCTCAGCAGGAACTCGCTCAGCTTCTGCACACTGCGGAGGTCAAGCGACACACGCGCACACACGCACACACATGCACACACACACACCAGGTCAGCTCGGATCACACACTAGCCCGCCCCGCCCAGCCCGCCCACCAGCGCTCAGCCAGGGCCGGGGAGCGGGGAGGCCCGCCAGGCCCCCCGTGGCCAGGCCTGCAGCAGCCTGCAGGCCGCCAGCACCTCCAGACTCTCAGACCCACAGCAGGGCAGCCCGTGGCCAGCACCCCGTGGCCAGCACCCTGGCCAGCCCGTGGCCAGCCCGTGGCCAGCCCGTGGCCAGCCCGTGGTCAGCCCGTGGCCAGCCCGTGGCCAGCCCGTGGTCAGCCCGTGGTCAGCCCGAGGCCAGCCCGTGGTCAGCCCGTGGCCAGCCCGTGGCCAGCCCGTGGCCAGCCCGTGGTCAGCCTGTGGCCAGCCCGTGGCCAGCCCGTGGTCAGCCTGTGGCCAGCCCATGGCCGGCAGCCACCCTGTGCAGGCTCTGGCCTTGCGCTTCCCCTCCACTCCTCATTAAAGGCAGTGGATGAGGACGAACCCGAAACGCAGCCGGCAGCCGGCATGGTGACAGTGACACGTGCACGGGATGCTGACACATGACAGATCTACTACAGAGCTCACAGATCCTGTAATAAATACGTAAGATACCATAGATACCTCACACAATGTATAACACTGTATGGTGCATAACAGATACTACATATAATTGTATAATATGTACTATATATGATATATGATATATATACCTATTATATATGTACTACAGTATATGCTATATATACTGTGTAATATATAATATACACAATATTATATACAATATAGATATGTATACTATAGTATACACTGTATAGTATACACTACGTACTATACTATCTATACGATATAGTATAGTATATATACAGTATGCTATACAGTGTATATACTATGTATATATATACTGTATATATACTATACGATATAGTATAGAACATACTATATCTATACTATGTTGTATATATATATATATATATATATATATATACGACACCTACATAATAATAGTATATACCATCTCTATATAATAAGTAGTATATAATATATACTATACTATATGTTTTATCTATAGTATATATAGCATATATGCTATATAGTGTATATATGGTATATATAGCATATACTATAGTATATATTACATATTATATCAATATAATTACATAGATATAGTACATATCTATATGTAAATACATACTCTCCATAAAGATATAGAGTATATAATATACAGTATATATCGGATACAGTATATAATAGATATATAAATATATAGATACATAATATATCGATATAGATGCAGACAAACATGTTAATGGGATATTGACTTAGGGGGATGATATAGACATAAACATGTCTATCATACAGATAAAAATGTATGCATGCGTATAAATGGAACATAGAGTTAGCAATAGACAGATGATAGAGACAGATGATGGAGAGCAGCCGGGCACCGTGGCTCCCGCCTGTCATCCCAGCGACTCAGGAGGCTGAGACCTGAGGATCACAGTTCGAGGCCAGCCCGGGCAGGAAAGTCTGTGAGACTCTGATCTCCAGTGAACCACCAGAAAACCGGGAGTGGAGCTGTGGCTCACGTGGTAGAGCACCAGCCTTGAGTGAAAGAGCTCAGGGACAGCGCCCAGGCCCTGAGTTCAAGACCCAGGACTGGCACAATAAAATGGAATAAAAGATTTGCCTTCTCTGCAGCGTGCACTAGTCAAACCCTAACATTCATTTTAGAGAGATAAGCTTTTAGAAGTCGATCCTACTTGGTCCGTGGCTTTGGCACTCGGGAACTGTTCCCTTTATAAACAGATCGGCCCGTGATCAAACCAGTAAATCCCTTTGGTTGAGATCTAAAACGGGGGTGTTGCTCATCCAGAACCGCTCAGGGAATGAGCTCCCCGTAAGCATCCTAGAATTCAGGGCAGCAGGACTATAAACTATGAATGGGGGTGAGGGAGCCCCCCAAAAAACTTAACACAACCATCTTTGGATTGCTTTGATCGTTTGCTTTCCCCCAGCTCAGCGGGTCCAAGTGCTTTTGGCGCTGGAGGATTTCTGGATTTCCCCGAGCCGCGGCTGCCGCCGGTGCTAAGTCTCCTGAGCTGCGTCGGAAAGCCGAGGCAGAATTCTGACTGCACCCAGCAGCCATGAAAGGAAGAGAGCTGTGAAATGCGGGGGGTGGGGGGTGTGGAGGGAGAGAGATGAAAATAAACACACCCCAAAATAGCCAAGGCCGGGTCACGGATCACGGTTTGAAGTGTCTCCCTCCGGCCAGAGCGCTGCCTTATTTGGAAGCAGGAGCTTCCACGTACCGCCTGTAATCTCGACAGATAGCTCAGAGGGGCCACACTCTGTCAGCGGAATTGGGGGCGGCTGCGGCTAGAGGACTCGAATTCTTCAAACCCCCAACAGCTCCCAAAGATGACAAACGACCTAACTGCGAAAAGACCCTGATTCATAGGAGGACAATTTACAGCCATCTGAGTGTGTGTGTGTGTGTGTGTGTGTGTGTGTGTGTGTACCAGGACCGAGGCTTGAACGCCTGGGCCTCAGGAATGGCTTTCTTCACTCAAGGCTGGTGCTCTACCACTTGAGCCTCACCTCCACTTCTGACTTTTTTTTCCCCTGGTTCATGGGAGATAAAATCGCCCGAGCTTTCCTGCCCAGGCTGGCTTTGAACTGCGATCCTCAGATCTCAGCCTCCTGAATCATGATGATAGGCATAAGCCACTGGCGCCCGGCTACATCTGAATGGTATCTGGTTTTGAGCTACTTGTTAGTGGGTGTAAGCCGTTGCCTGAGCCTCAAACAAACAACACACACTGCTTTTTCTCAGCCTGTAAACACGGGGGGACTTGGGGGAATTGTCTCACTGTCAAAGTCGGAGGCAAGATGCCATACACTGCTTGTCTACCTAAGGTCTCCATTCACCAGTTGTGATTTTTGTTGCTGTTGTTGTTTTGCTGGTCCTGGGATTTGAACTCAGGGCCCGGGCGCTGTCCCTGAGTCTCTTTGTGCTACAGGTGAGCGCGCTACCACTTGAGCCACAGCGCCACTTCTGGTTTTCTGGTGGTTCCCTGGAGATGAGAGTCTCACAGACTTTTTCTGTCCGGGCTGGCCTCGAACTGCGATCCTCACACCTCAGCCTCCTGAGCAGCTGGGATGACAGGCGTGAGCACCGGTGCCCAGTTTCATGGTTATTTCAGAAGAACCGTTTTATACACAGGAGCCAGCACAGCGGAAGTTGAGCACAGAACTCTGGGGCGGGTGCTCAGGGCCTTTTCCCCTTGCTCCAGCTTCCTCGGGGAAGCTCACGGGTGTTTCTAGAATCGCTCAGCCAGGAAGCCTGGCTGGGCCGGGGGCTTACCTGACAATGGCTTTCACGGCGAACCTGACCACGGTGGAGAGCAGGAAGAGCGGGGTCACCAGGATGTGGAAGAGGCAGAGCGACGCGAAGGCCTCGGCCGGCTGCAGGTTGTTGCCGCTGGTGTACGCGTGTGTCACGAACGTCTGGGCGAGAGGAAGAGCCCTCAGAGACAGCAGCAGGGCGCGATGTCCCCAAGGCCGGTGTGGTTTGCAGACAGGCTAGTAGGTCGTAGTAGGGTTTGTGACGTCACCGTGTGACCATGATGTCACAGTGGCAGTGTGATGTCACAGTGGGTTTGTGATGTCACCATGGGTTTATGATGTCACCATGGGTTGGTGATGTCACAGTGGGTTTGTGATGTCACCGTGGGTTGGTGATGTTACATTGGGTTTGTGATGTCACAGTGGGTTTGTGATGTCACCATGGGTTGGTGATGTCACAATGGGTTTGTGTCATCACTGTGGGTTGGTGATGTCACAGTGGGTTTGTGATGTCACCGTGGGTTGGTGATGTCACAGTGGGTTTGTGACATCACCATGGGTTTGTGATGTCACGGTGGGTTTGTGATATCACTATGGGTTGATGATATCACAATGGGTTTGTGATGTCATAATGGGTTGGTGATATCACAATGGGTTGGTAGTGTCACAATGGGTTGGTGATGTCACAGCAGGTTTGTGACATCACCGTGGGTTGGTGATGTCACCATGGGTTGGTGATGTCACAGCGGGTTTGTGACGTCACCGTGGGCGTGTGATGTCACTGTGGGTTTGTGACATCATCGTGGGTTGGTGATGTCACAGTGGGTTTGTGACATCACCGTGGGTTGATGATATCACAATGGGTTTGTGATGTCACTGTGGGTTGGTGATGTCTCCGCGGCAAGCGGGATCTCAATTTCCATTACAATGGGCACGTGAGTTCACAAAGGGACTGTGAAGACTCCATTGGACCGACAGGAGGAAAACCAGGCCTTTCTTCCACCTCTCCAACCAAAGAACGCTTGGCGTGGGTCTCCATCCCCGCTAGGCGTTGTGGGCTTGGGGGGAGGCTCCAGACACCGTCTGTTCCCAGGGACAGCGGGCTGGCACGTGAGGCAAGGAATCCAGGCTCTTTCCAAACAAACCAATGTGTAACGTGTTTGAAGAGGAGCCGGGCACCGTGGCTCATTCCTGTCATCCCAGCTACCCAGGAGGCTGAGATCTGAGGATCGTGGTTGGAGGCCAGCCCGGGCAGGAAAGTCCGTGAGACTCTCATCTCTACTGACCCACCAGGAAACCACAAGTGGCACTGTGGCTCAAGTGGTAAAGCGCTCACCTTGAGCTGAAGAGCTCAGGGACAGCGCCCAGGCCCTGAGTTCAAGACCCACGCCTGACCAAAAAAAAAAGACAAAAGAAAAGCAAGTGGTAGAGAGATGAAATGATTATATATCACTCCCCACACATATCTGTGCATAAACCTGTGTGTGTGTGTGTGTGTGTGTGTGTGTGTGCGCGCACCAGCACAGCCAAGGCCACTCGCTCTCGCTTGGCTTTTCCTGCTCAAGGCTGGTGCTCTACCACTCGAGCCACACCTCCATGTTTGACTTTTTGCTGGATCATGGGAGCTCAGAGCCACACGGGACATTTCCCTACTCAGGCTGGCTCTGAACCTTGGCTCCTCAGATCTCAGCCTCCTGAGTCGCTGGGATGACAGGCGGGAGCCACCGGTGCCCGGCGATCCATCATTTTTTGATCATGGACAAAAGCAACAAGAAGAAAGACAAAAAGGAACTTACAGCAAGGACGGCTGCGATAGGAATGGCGGCGTTCATGAAGACTGTGGAGAGAAATCCAACACGTGAGTGGGGGGGGGATTTTAATTACTCATCATTAGTATGTTCAAGTGGTAGGCTTGGCGCTCTACCACTTGATCCATAGCACCAGACAGGCATTTGGCTGGTTATGTGGGAGGTGGATTCTGTGTGTGTGTGTTTTGAGTTCATCTCCACGAGCAGCGTTTTCTACGGCCATATGCACATCGCTCTTGGGCCAGCGAATGAATGTTTTTACTATTCACAAATGGTCTTGTATTATGAGATTGGGTTTGGGGAAGGAATCTGTTGCCTGGAAAGAAAAAAAGTCACATGGAAAAGGAAAGTTTACTGGAGCAAGCAGAGGAAATACACAGGTTTCAAAGACTCCAACAGACGCTGTCCCCTGCCACGGAGCGCGAATCCCACGTCCTTTGGACATTTTCCCCAGTGATTTTCCCACCTTCCCAATGCTCTGTGTTTCCCATTCCTCCCATCGCATCGCTGTTTTATTGCACACCCCTTTTATTCCCCCCACCTCCACTTTTCTCCCTGCATCTGAGGGTCCCCTGTGTCTATTACCTAACAGGAAACAATTCCACAGGTGAGACCCCTTCCATTTTCATGGCTGCCCACAGTAAAACCAAACACAGCTCAAAGGCTGGGTGTGGATGGCTTATGTCTGTAACTCTGGCCTCTAGCCTCCAACCTCCATCTCAGCCTCTTGGGTAGCTAAGGATTGCACCGCCACCTACTAGAAACTTTTGTTTTTTTATGGTCAGTCGTGGGGCTTGAACTCAGGGCCTGGGCACTGTCCCTGAACTCTTCAGCTCAAGGCTAGTGCTCTACCACTTGAGCCACAGCTCCACTTTCTGGTGGTTTATTGGCGAGCAGAGTCTCATGGACTTTCCTGCCCTGGCTGGCTTTGAACCTCGATCCTCAGATCTCAGCCTCCTGAGCAGCTGGGATGACAGGCGGGAGCCACTGGCCCCCAGCTGAAACTTTTTTTTTAATTGAAGAACTGCATATCTTTGTTTTCATATTATAAGCAACAGAAATCAGGAAACATTATCCTTCAAGGAGGCAAACGAAAAGAATTTAATCTCTATTCCCCAGAGGATCTATAGTTAATGTAAATATAAATATTATTATTTTTATACTATTTTATTATAAATTATATATCTATAATTATTAAGTATTGTTAAAATTTGTAATATCTTTAAAAATTAAAATTAGATATAGATGTAGATATAGATATTGAGATAAATGTGGATTTTATAATAGTAATGTATATAAGTACTGGTATAAATTGATTTAAATATATGGAAATAAGGTTATTCTGCACATGTAAAGCCGTAAGAACTGGACAGCTCCCGAAGTTCACACATTCCAGCAGTGATATCCATTTTTTACTTATAGATCTTGCACTTATTAAGAATACTTCCATGCTGGCACCAGTGGCTCACGCCTGTAATCCCATCCACTCAGGAGGCTGAGATCCCAGAATCATGGTTCAAAGTCAGCCCAGGCAGGAAGGTTCTTGAGATTCCTATCTCCAATGAACCCCCAAAATGCCAACATGGAGCTGCGGCTCAAGTGGTAGAGCGCCAATCTTGAGCGCAAACGCTCAGATACAGCACCCAGGCCCTGAGTTCAAATGCCAACACTGGCCAAAAAACAAAAATCTTATCTCATTCAGATTTCTCATTCCAGAAATAGAAGTCACTATCGTCTGATGAACAGGACACACACAAACAGAACAAGGAAAAGTCATATTTTCAGCTAATGTGCTCATGTTTGGGCAGCCGCAAAGACAAAAGGGCAAGTTGCTTGGTAGTTCTGCTTACACCTTAGAATTTCAGGGACCAAGTCACCCCCCCCCCAAAAGAAGTAATTGGCACTCAACCACTTGAACTATGCCTCCAGCATGCCTTTTGGCTGGTGAGTGGGAGAAAAGCGTCTCCCAGACCTTCCTGCCTACATTGGCTTGGAACTCGACCTCAGCCTCCTGAGTGGCTGGGATTACAGGCGTGAGCTACCAGGGTCTGCTTCAACCGTAGCTGCGTTTTGAAACCACGAAATATGGTCACTCCGTCACAGCAATGGAACACCCCGGGAGGGTTTTCTGCACCGATTATGCGCTCTCTGTCCTAGCTGGGTCGGGGTCAAAAGTGGCCCAGAAGATGGAGATGCCCGGCTTGGGGCCCTGGGCCTGTTCTAGGGTTTGTGTCCAATCCCACCAGCCACACATGGCTTTACCACAGGCCTAGCAAAGCCCTGGCTGGGTTTGTGCGGGAACTGTGCACCGTGTGCGTGTGGATCCCTCTCCGTGGTCCCCATGACTTACTGGACAGAGATGTGTACAGCGCGAAGGTTTTCAGGCTGGACAGTTCCTTCAGACGCGTCTCCTCCACGCTTCTGCAGAAAATGTGTTCCCATGCGTACAGCTTCAGCAGCTTGATGCCTTTCAAGATCTCGTTGGTCTTCTTCAGTCTTTCCGTGGAATAATCCTGTCCATATACAGGGGGACACTATGATCCACGCCACAAGGCCACCACAGAGACCACAGGGCCACCCACGGGACAGGAGGAAGGGGAAAGAGTCAGGCCTCATGACAGGGCTCTGTTCCACCCCGAAGGAGACCGTCCTGGAAGAATGGCTCCAACAGCACAGAGGTGGTACCCGGCCCAAGATGGCTCCCGCCTGGCATCCCAGCTACTCAGGAGGCTGAGATCTGAGGATCGTGGTTCAAAGCCAGCCTGAGAGACTTGGATCTCCAATGAGCCACCAAAAACAAAAGCCAGAGGTGGACCTGTGGCTCAAAGTGGTAGGAATGAAAAATCAACCAGGCCCTGAGTTCAAGTCCCAGGACTGGCACAAAAACATAAATATATATATACTTATATATATTTATATTTATTTATATAAATATATAAATAAGTATACAGAACTATGTAAATATATAAATAAAAACATGCATACCCAAACAAGTCAAGTTTGGCTAGATTTCCCAAGGACAGTGTCCCCGCGCTTACTACTTACAAGCGTGCTTTTCTGAGCCTCTGCCAGCTTTGTGGCAATGAAGTACTGAATGGGAGCAAGAAGGACAATTACAGCCGCTCCAACCAGGGCACTGGATCCAAGCAGGTTGTAGAGCAAAATCACCCCCATGATGATCTAAAAAGGAAACATATATGGCGGAGAAAAATCCACAGGGTTGGGAGAGCTGGTGTTCAAAAGGAAGTGTCTTCAGGAGAAGGTAGCATTTCTCCTCCTAAGCAGATTGCATTTCATTTGGAAGCCAACTGTTGATATCACCATCAGGGGAGCTGTATGACCAGTTCCTAACCGATCGATTGCACAAAGTTACCAAGTAGCCCCACGATGCTTTGGGATCTTATAAGGTGATGGTCAGTTCTAAAAAGAACCTTCTGGGAAAACATTGTCACCCTCCATAGATTTGACCCTCCACAAACTAAGAAAGAGCCATGCGTAGAGAATTTCACTGTTGGCAAACACAGAGAAATTGAACCTCTGTTGGAACCCGAGCAGTGTAATTTCAAACCCTACTTGGCTAATCCACGCCATCTTGTTCCTGAGTTTTTTTGGTTCCTTGACAACCAAAGTATCCTCCTTTGGCCTCCTGTGAATATCTAGAGACCTGTATAATTGATCATGTCCCGGTGTATTTTTTTCTAAATCATTCAGGGAGTTTACTTGTAGATTGATAGACATATTTTAGTTACCACAAGTGAGGGAAAAACCACGCAGCCTATGTTTCTTTAGGTCTGGCTTACTCCACTTCCTTACAAATGTTATTCTTTCTGATGGAAGCATAGAATTCCATCGGGCTTATATACCACGTTTTCTTGATCCATTCATCCACAAGGGTTGTCTGATCTCATTCCATATCTTGGCTATGGTAATCAATACTGCAATGAACATGGTTGTGCTGGTGGCTTTAGTGCAGCCTGGTTTGTGGTCATTTGAATAAATGCCCAGCAGTGGGATTGCTGGGTCCTAGGGGAGCTCTATGTGGAGGCTTTTGAGGAACCTCCATACTGCTTTCCAGAGGGGTTGAACAAGTGACACTCCCACCCACAGTGCCAAAGAGTTCCCTTTTGGTCACCTCCCCTCCAGCATCTGTTCTTGTTATTCTAACTAGGGTGAGGTGGAATCTCAATGTGGTTTTGATTTGTGTTTCTTTTCTGGCCAGCGACGTTGAGCATTTTTTCCTGTGTCTCTTGGCCATACTTACTTCTTCCTCTGAGAAGTCTCTCTTTGAGTCTTTAGCTGATTACTTAATTGGGCTGTTGAGTTATTGATGGTTTATTTTTTTTGGGGGGGGGTGTAATTTTTTCTGAGGCCAAAGGAGGATAGGCCTAGGATTGATTAACCAACGCTCAGCAGCCACACGCCTATGATCATATAAAATAATATCTTAGGAAGTGAACTCCGAGGAAAGGAAACAAGAGATTTGCTTTTGTTGCTGTTGTTTTCTTTTCTTTTCGTTCTGTTTGTTCATTTCTGTGTCTTTGGGAAGGGCACAGAAATGGGGGGACAGAGAGGAACCCAAGGCAGCCGGGGTCCTCACTGGACACCAGGTGGAGAATGAACTCCACCACTGGTGGATGGGGACGGGAGGGAAACACTGGGGGAGAGAGCGAGGGAAGGGGGGACAGGGTCCAAAAAGAAATGTATTTTCATGACGATTATAACCCCTCTGTAATAACCTTTACAATAACAATAATGTATGCATTTTTGGAAAGCATCATTCAAAAATTGTTGCTTTTTGCAAGGCACCTGTGGCTCACGCCGGTCATCCCAGCTCCTCAGGAGGCTGAGATCTGAGGATCACAGTTTAAAGCCAGCCTGGGAAGGAAAGTCCCTGAGACTCTGATCCCCAATGAACCACCAGAAAAGCCAGAAGAGGAGCTGTGGCTCAAGTGGTCGAGCACCAGCCTTGAGTGAAAAAGCTCAGGAATAGCACCCAGGTCCTTGTGTTCAAGTCCCGGGACACACACACACACACACACACACACACACACACACACACACACACACACACACGGAAGTATTGTTGCTTTGTTCCTTCTGTTTGTTTGTTTTCTTCTGCGAACCAGATTGTACCTGAAGTTGACTTACCTGGACAGGCATTGCCCACAAATTGGGACACAGAAAGAGGAACCACATGAGTTGGTTGGTTTCTATGGCAACCAGGTTGTTGACCTGGCCCAAGGTCATTTCACCCATGGACAAGTTCGAAGTAGAGAGCCTCAGGATTTTATTATAGATCATGGCCTACAAAGAAAACACCACAAGGGACATAAGCCTCCCAACCTCAAATCCACATCGTCATTATTTACTTTCATTGTAAACAAACAAACAAAAACAAAAACAGTATCAGCCAGGCTCCAATGGCTCCCGCCTGTCGCCCCAACTACTCAGGAGGCTGAGATCTGAGGATCAAGGTTTGAAGCCCAGCCTAAGCAGGAAAATCCAGGAGACTCTCATCTCCAATGAACCAGCTAAAAGCTGCAAGTGGAGGTGTGGGTTGAGTGGTAGAACGCCAGCCCTGAATGGTAAACAAAAAGCCAAGCAAGTGTGGAAGGCTCTGAGTTCAAGCCCCGGGTCTGGCATTTTTTAAGTCATGTAGTTTAATAAAATGAAGAATGGGATTGGGGTGCACTAAGGTTGTCTTCTTAAAGCAGCCTCTACTTCTATTAGTATAGTTACTCTTTTGTCCTCAATAACCAAATACCAACTTATTTTTTCTAGCAGTATAAGCAAAATCTACATTCAGTTTCAAACAGATGTACAAGTTCTCTACATATTTTTAATTGTGTGTGTGTGTGTGTGTGTGTGTGTGTGTGTGTGTGTGTGTGTGTGTGTGTTGGTCCTGGGGCTTGAACTCAGGGCCTACGTGCTGTCTCTGATCTCTTTTGCTCAAGGCTGGTGCTTTACCACTTGAGCCACAGCTCCACTTCTGGTTTTTTGCTGGTTCATTGGCAATAGGAGTCTCACAGACTTTCCTGCCCAGGCTGGTTTGGCCAAATCTCAGCCACCTGGGTAACTGGGGTGACAGGCATGAGCCACGGGCACCCGGCTTTAATTCGTCTTTGAAAGTCAGTTTGAATTCAATGAGTTTAGTACTTAGCTCCGCTTCTTTCATGAAACAGATCCTAGAAATGTTGTCGTTAAGATAAGAAAGTGAAAATACACTTAAAAAAAAGAAGAGCTAGGCTAGCTGGGTGCTGGTGGGTCCCGCCTGTCATCCCAGCTACTGAGGAGGCTGAGATCTGAGGATCGAGGTTCAAAGCCAGCCTGGGCAGGAAAGGCCATGGAACTCTTATTTCAATAAACAACCAGAAAACCAGAAGTGGCGCTGTGGCTCAAGTGGTAAAGCACCAGCCTTGAGCTGAAGGGCTCAGGGACAGCGCCCAGGCCCAGAGTTCAAGCCCCACACCTAGCCAACAACAACAACAAAAAGAGCCAGGTGCCAGAGGCTCACACCAGAGATCTGAAGATCACAGTTCAAAGCCAGCCTGGATAGGAAAGTCTGTGAGACTCTTAATTATCCATCAAAAAGCCGGAAGTGGAGCTGTGGCTTAAAGAGGTAGAGCACTAGCCTTGAGCAAAAGAGCTCAGGGATAGCACCCAGGACCTGAGTTCAAGTCCCAGGACTGGCATAATAATAATAATAATAATAATTTTGAAAGCCTGAGCTAGGTAGGGTCCAGTGGCTCCCACATCTGCCGTCTTAGCTACTCAGGAGGCTGAGATTCAGAGGATCACAGTTCAAAGCCAGCCCAGGAAGATGGTGAGGTTTCAAAAAGCCAGGCTGGAGGCATGGTTGAAATGGTAGAGTACCAGCCGTGAGCCAGAAAGCGGATCAAGAGCACAAAGTCTCGAAGTCTCAAGTTCAAGTCCCAGTAACAGCATCGTCAAGAAACAAAGTCCCTTCAGGGCTTGGCTTGTACTTACCAGCAGGGCGCCGCGGAGGTTGATGCCCGTTTGTATGGTCACATAGTAGGATGCTTGCAAAAATGTCCTTTGCAGAATTAAGGCCAGGAAAAGCAGAACAGCTAAGACATAAGCATTCTCAAGAAATTCCTTGGAGGAGAGGGTTTTTGAAATCTTGTGGCAAAGGGGGACAAAGAAAAAGGAAAACAAATTAAAACGGATCTTTTCACCTACCAGGAACATAGATTGCGCTTATAAAACGGCACCGGTGGCTCCCACCTGTCATCCCAGCCACTCAGGAGGCTGAGATCTGAGGATCGGGGTTCAAAGCCAGCCCCGGGCAAGAAAGTCTCTAACACTCTTTTCTCCCATGAACCACCAGAAAAGCCAGAAGTGGAGTTGTGGCTCAAAAGGTAGAGCACCAGCTTGGAGTGAAAAAGTTCGGAGACAGTGCTTAGGCCCTGAGTTCAAGCCCCGGGACCGGCACACACTCACAAAAATAAACAAATACATAAACAAACCTACTGTTACAAAATAGGTGAAAACATTTTTAACCAGCTGATGCTTCTAAGTATAAAACACTTCCTAGGAAAAGCGGTTTTAGAAGAAGAACCTTGATCCTCTAGATTTAAGATTGTGCAAACATGAACCCCCAACACCTGGAAACTGTCATTTTTTAAAAAAATTAACCCATATTTATGAGTAATTCCAACAGGCTGACAGTTACAGAAAACTGAGTAATTTTTAAGAACAAAACCAGTCATTTTCCTCATGGAGAAAATCAAGTTTTTATATTTACCAACTTATCTGGCCAGACAATTTATTTTATTTATTTCTCAGATTCAGCGCCCACTAATATTTAATCAGCATCTATGTGACAAGAACAGTATTCATGTATTTCACCTTGATCTTTTTTTTTTTTAATCAGTCCTGGGTCTTGAACTCAGGGCCTGGGCGCTGTCCCTGAGCTCTTTCATTCAAGGCTGGTGCTCTACCACGTGAGCCCCAGCGCCACTTCCGGTTTTCTGGTGCTTCATGGGAGATCAGAGTCTCAAGGACTTTCCTGCCCAGGCTGGCTTTGAACCGCAGTCTTCCAGATCTCAACCTCCTAAGTCGCTGGGATGACAGGCATGAGCCACCCGTGCCCAGCTGATCATTCTGGGGTTTAAACTCAGGACTTCATACTTCTGAAGCCGCATGCCCAGTCCTGTTTTTCTGCTTCAGTTCTTTGTCAGATGGGGTCTTGTATGTCTATAAAGGACTCGGACTGCAGTCCTCCTATTTAAACATTCTGTGCATGTTGTTGAGATGGGGGCAGGGATCTTGCTAACTTTTTGGGGGGCCAGCATCAAATCGTAGATAGAGTTGTTGACTTATTTTGAAATCACCAGCAAAAAGCAGAGCTGGAGGTCTGTGTGAGCGGTAGAGCACCAGGCCTGAGCACGCAAACCGAATCCCACGAGGTCTGGGGTTCGAGACCCCCCCCTCCCCTAAGAACAGCAACAACAAAAATGGCAGACCGCGATTGCCACACGATCTGCTTCTTTTCTGCAGCCTGGTACACTTACGCCGGTGGTGTTGACTGTCCTGTTCTGTGTGTCGTTCACGCGCTGGACTATGCCGGAAATACAGAGAGGACCCGCGAAGCCCAGAAGGTCGGCCAGGTAGCGAAACGTGCTGCTCAGAAGAATGGGCCGGCCGAAAGCTCTGTACATCGCCAGCCAGATAGACGGGGTCCGATTCGGATGATCTGCTACTTTTTTCTGAAAAACCAAACCAAAAACGAGGTAGGGTCCTGTCCAACTTCCAACCAGGAGCTCCCGCCTGCCATCCCAGCTACTCAGGAGGCTGAGATCTGAGGATCGAGGTTCGAGGCCAGCCCTGGCAGCAAAGTCCAGGAGACTCTGATCTCCAATGAACCACCAGAAAACCGGAAGTGGCGCTGTGGCTCAAGTGGTAGATCAAGTGGTAGAGCACCAGCCTTGAGTGAAAGAGCTCAGGGACAGCGCCCAGGCCCTGAGTTCAAGTCCCAGGACACACACACACACACACACACACACACACACACACACACACACGAGTCAGAGTATTAACTACCAAAAAGCCATAAGTGAAGGTGTGGCTCAAATAGTAAGAGCATCTGCCTTGAGTTAAAAAGCGAAGCAAGCGGGTGAGGCCCTGAGTTCGAGCCCCAGTACCAGCACCAAAGAAATCAAATAAAAATGCTTCTAAGACTCAACACAGCCCGGGTTGGAACCGATGAACTAGCTTCACGGATTTCACGGAGCTGCAAGGTGCCAGATAGTAAATTCCCCCTTCAAAGGCGGCCGTTTTGCTCTTTTCTAGAATCTATCCAATGCCACAGCATCAGCTCACTGGATGGAAGCAAGCAGCACGGAGCACAACTTCTCCATCTCCACCGTAAATCGTGGCTTTGGCAGGGACGCAGGGAAGTTATTATGTAACGCTTTTCTCCAGAGACCCTGAAGACTTGACATGGGTTCATTTCTGGTTTGCTGGCATTTCAGAGCACAGATTTTTTTTCTTTTTTGGATGCACAAAGTCATTTTCGTCATTTACTATAAATGCTTTGTAGAGCATACTTTAGAACAGCTAATAATAATAATAACAACAACTAACCTTCACTAGATCCATTGCTTTCCTCTTCAAAGACCTGTGCTCCCAGTGGATGGTTACAATGATGAAGCATTTTGAGACACAATTGGAAAGGACTAATGGTATTGAAGATTCTTAAAGCAATGAAAGACACCATAAAGTTCCAGAAGGAACCGATAGGTTGTTTTGTTCTTATTTTTGTTTTTGAAATAAGTGTCTGGCATCTTTGCCCAGATCCTCCCGTTTTTGCCTCCAAAGATAAGGGATTAAAGGAATGAGCCACAAGGCAGGGCTCGGAATAAACCAGTTTTAGAAACATGGAGGATGACACACAAAATAAATAAATAGCACCGTACTGAATTAGGTTTCCCAGCTTTACACTACAGAATTAATCTTAGCTGACCGCTGGAGGATTGAGTCACAGTGTTTGGTAGTGAACATGAACTTTTTTATTTTTGGTCAGTCATGGGACTTGAACTCAGGGCCTGGGCACCATCCCTCAGCGCTTCAGCTCAAGGCGGGTGCTCTACCCCTTGAGCCATGGCACCACTTGTGGTTTTCTGGTGGCTCATTGGAGATCAGAGTCTCACGGACTTTCCTGTCCAGGCTGGCTTTGAACCACGATCCTCAGACCTCAGCCTCCTGAGTGGCTGGGATGACAGGCGGGAGCCACAGCGCCCGGCTCAGCCCAACTCTTTAACACTGTGGTCACAAGGCTAAAAAGTACCTTCTGCTCTTCATAGGCATCTTTCAAGCAGACGTAATTGGTGACCGCCCGCATGGCTATGGGCAGCTTCCCGATGGCTTTCAGATCGATGGGCTTCTTGTGAGCGGAGATGATGAGCGTGTTCATCCACCAGTACGTGGCTTTGGAGAGCAAATTCACGAAGGGCTGCAAGAATCTCACGCCCAGGTCCTGCAGGTCTTCGGGCGGCTTCACCTTCTGGGGATTCGTAAAGAAGACGTACTTCTGTGGCAGAGAGGAGTCCCACAGAGCCATTGTTACCTGAGAGCGTCTCCATTTGCAAAGTCACATTTCACTTTTGGTTAGTCCTGGGACATTAATTCAGGGCCTGGGCGCTGTCCCTGAGCTCTTCAGCTCAAGGCTGGCGCTCTACCACTTGAGCCACAGCACCACTTCCGGTTTTCTGGTGGTTCATGGGAGATCAGACTCTCACGGACTTTCCTACTCAGACTGGCCTCGAACCTCGATCCTCAGATCTCAGCCTCCTGAGTAGCTGGGATGACAGGCGGGAGCCACAGGCACCTGACTGGAAATCTCTAAGGTCTTAAAGCTGGAAGCTGGGTGGTAAGTCAACCTCATATTTGCCCACACACCCGTGTGTGCGTACTGTTGAGTCTGGGTCGTTTCGGGCTGACTGTCGTGTTTGTTGGAGGCCCGGAAGAGCCCGGAAAAGCATGCAATACTCACTCGGACCCGGATGACGTTGATCTCCACGGCCATCAGCAGCCCGTTCAGGATCACCATGATGCCCGTGATGCAGAAGCGGAGATCGGACACGCCCCACCCTGACTGCCAGTACTTGACCAATTTTATTGTTTTGGTAATAAAGGCCATCACCCAATACAGGAACAAGGCTGAAAAACAGAACGCGGTGGAAGTGGTTTTTGAGGGTTTGTTGTTTGTTTGTTTTGTCAGTCATGGGTCTTGAACTCAGGGCCTGGGCGCTGTCCCTGAGCTCTTCAGCTCAAGACTGGTGCTCTACCACTTGAGCCACAGCGCCACTTCTGGTGGTTCATGGGAGATCAGAGTCTCACGGACTTTCTTGCCCGGGTTGGCTTTGAACCGTGATCCTCAGATCTCAGCCTCCTGAGTCGCTGGGATGACAGGCGGGAGCCACGGGCACCCAGCTGTTTTTAAAAAGAAAAAGAAATCTCTCCTTGAAATTTAAATTTTTTCCCACTAATATCTAAATACCATAATAATGCTTTCAAGTTGCAAAGCAGCTGGGCCCAGCTACTCAGGAGGCCAAGATCTGAGGATGGAGGTTCGAAGCCAGCCCAGGCAGTAAATGTCTATGAGACATTTAGCTCAACATCAAAAAAAAGCTGGAAGTGGCGCTGTGGCTCAAGTGGTAGAGCGCCAGCCTTGAGTGAAAGAGCTCAGGGACAGCGCCCAGGCCCTGAGTTCAAGCCTCAGGATTGGCACAAAAAAAGGGAAGGGAAAAAAAAAGGAAGAAAGAAATAGCAAAAGCAATGATAAGTATTCTACTTGCAAGGAACCCTAAGGGTTCAATTGGCAATGGTCTACAGGTGAATATTCCTTTCTTTTAACACAATTGGTTGAAGAAAAGCTGTCTTTTCTGCAGTGTATATTTTGGATTTGGGGGATGGGAGAGTTGGTGCCAGTCTTGGGGCTCGAACTCGGGGCCTAGGCACCGAGATTCAGTCATTTCCAGTAAACAAAACAAAACAAAAAGAAAAGGAAGATCTGCATTACATAGGGACCTCAGTTAACTTTAACTTTTGTTGTTGTCGGTCATGGGGCTTGAACTCTGGGCCTGGGCGCTGTCCCTCAACTCTTCAGCTCAAAGCTAGTGCTCTACCACTTGAGCCACAGCGCCACTTCCGGCTTTTTCTGCTTATGTGGTGCTGAGGAATCGACCCAGGGCCTCATGCATGCAAGGCAAGCGCTCTACCACTGAGCCACCTGCCCAGCCAAGGTGAGCAACAAGACAGGGCTAGATGAGCATGCTAGACGTATGTGTGTTTAGCTAGGAGCCTTAACAAGCTGGCGTTAATGATAAGTCCATTTCCAAGATGACCAGTCGCACTGTCAATGAGAAATCAACTGCATTTCATACAATGCCCCAAACAACCGGCAAGTCCGATGGGAAGGACAATGTCATTCTGGGAAAGACAATGCCATTCCCAATAGCAGCAGGGAAGAACCAAGTGATCATAAAATGTCTGCAGGCCGAGCACCGATGCCCTTCCTTTAATCCCAGCCACTCGGACGCTGCCATCTGAAGATCTCAGTTTGAAAGCCGGCCGGGAGAGACAAATCTGAAAGACGCTTTCCTCCCTTCGGCCAGCAGGAAGCCCGAAGTGGAGCTGTTGGCTCAAGTGGTAGAGCACCACCGGCCTGGAGGGGAAAAGCTGAGAGACTGAAGTCCTGAGTTCAAGTCCTGGCACCATCACACACACACACACACACACACACACACACACACACACACACACACGAATAACCAGACATGTGACCTCTTGTACACAGAAAAAGGAAGTCCGTCTATTCATCCAGCTAAGAGAAATGAGTGAGCTGGAGCTAAATAGAGAGTAAGTTCGGTCTCGGGATCGTTGAGGCTCACCTAGAAGGAGTTTAGGGAAGTTGGATGTTTCGATGTTGTGGTAATAGACTATCGATGTGGTTGTGGCCACAAACCCCATCACCGCCGGCATGAACAGGTGCAGATGCCTGGAGTCCCGCCGGCTAGGAGAACAAAGCACAGTCCGTTTGTGTTGGTTTGTTTTTGCCAGTCCTAGGACTTGAACTCAGGGCCTGGGTGCTGTCCCTGAGCTCTTCAGCTCAAGGCGGGCGCTCTACCACTTGAGCCACAGCGCTACTTCCAGTTTTCTGGTGGTTCACTGGAGATCAGAGTCTCAGAGACTTTCTTGCCCAGGCTGGCTTTGAACTGTGATCCTCTGAATCTCAGCCTCCGGGGTGGCTGGAATGGCAGGCGGGAGGCGCCGGTGCCCTGTGGGTTTCTCATTTTCTTTGCAATTGTATTTCATTTTATTCACAGAAAGTCACTTTTGTCAAAGAATCAACAAGCCCACGAGTAGCTGGCAGAGAAGCGGAGCAGACACTCGTTGAAGAAGCACAGACACCCAGGAAATACTGTGGCCAGGAAATACTAAAGCCAAACTACAGAGGGAGGAGGGAGGAGGAAGGAGGGAAGGAGGA